TAGGACAGGGATATTGTTACAAAAATGTGAAAGCCGAGTCAAGCTATTTTGAATGGGCTGCCATTTATGCCACTAGATCTAAGACAGCAACTTACCCTACTCTACCTAATAACACTTACCGAGATATTGAGAAACAAACCTTGGAGATGTCTTGGTGCCTAGCTTTCAGTACTACAAACAGCCCATGTGTCCTAGAAATGAGGTGAGCCATGGGTCTGTGGCAGGGCCAGTCCCATCATCTGTCACTCCTCTCCAATTGCCCTGTTCCCTCTGAGCTTGCCTGCAGTCCCAAAGCATCAGGGTACAGAGAGCAGGTTGTGCCATGGATACTCACAGCAGCCAGGTGTTCCCATGACCCCTCTCTGTCGAAGTAAAGACTATTTGGGGATGTTCAAATCATCAAAGCTCTCGTGGTAGAAACATTAATGAGGAGGATCACATTTGAAAACCTTTATTTACTTTGCCCTCTACCAATTAAATTTCCTTTAAAAATCCACTCAGACAAGCAGATTTAAGTAAATATATTCACAGGTTAATATTTACTCAAGAAATCTAGCTCACTTTTTGTCTGAAGGTGAACTGCTGCTTCCTCAAAGTTTAATCATTATTTGAATTCATTCAATGAACTTTCTGTGCATTTAAAATGATTATATGGAATGAATCTCTAAATGTGTATTTCACTGGTAGTTGCTGCTTGATATTCAGCATAGCTTAGTGTACTATAAAATATATAGTACCAATATTTAACATCAAGAGTGTCTTGGCCTCTCTGTTAGTATAAGAATAGTATATATCTGCAATTGTTCTGTATCACAGCCTAAGGCTCCAATCCTGAATACATTTTTTAGAAGTATATCCCATTGATTTCACTGGGATTAAATGTCACAAATTGGGGTTAGGACCAAGGAAACGGATGCATAATTTTGCAAGAATCAATTCTCAGACTATTTCTTTCATAAAGGTGCAGAGTCTAGATGAATGGAAATCAGTAACGTAGAACATCACATTGACAATGACAATACCGTTAAGCCCGATTCTGCCAGTGGCAAGAAGTACTAGTAGAGCAGGGCGAATCAAGGTTTGGTTTCCTTTGGAAGGTGCCCCTGGATATTTATTGGCAATTAGTTTATTTACACATATACCAGTTGGACATAGATAGAAGACTACCGAAACACTCCAAAGCCCACATTTCTTACTGATTTCCAAGGAAACAATGCCCTCTATGCAAATAAATAAATAAAATAAAATGCATGTTAGTTTTTCAGAGGTCAAAACTTCAAAACTCAATTCTGTTACTTTGTCTGGTCTGCTTCAAAAATTCTTTTGCACAGAGACCTTGGATTTCTGCATCCTTAGCTGGGATGGTGGTGGGGGAGGCATCCCTCTTAGGGGTATTCCCTAATCACTGAGTTGAAAAGTTAGCTAGTGACAGAAATCAATAGAGGCAGTGTGAAGTAGTGGTTAAGAACATGAGACTGGGACTCAGACAATCTGGGTTCTAGTCCCCGCTCAGCCATGGAGCCAACTAGGTGACTTTGGGCCAGTCACAGACTCTTAGTCCAACCTACCTCACAGGGTTGTTGTTGTGGGGATAAGATGGAGGAGGAGAATGTTGTAAGCTGCCTTGAGCCTTTGTAGGAAAAAGGCAGGATATAAATTGAAAAATAAATAATTAAATAAATAAAATCAGACAACTGCCCTGACCCAGGAAATGGACTTGACCACTTTGCCACAGCCAGTAAGGTAATCTTGAGCAGTCCTCCCGGTTACCACTTCAGCAGTTTTCCGGTATTGTTTTTATGGAATATTTGTATGTATTGAAAATTATGTTATATCTAAAGTTCTGTTGTGGGTTTGGTTCTTTGTAAGCCACCTAGAGATCTTACTCAGACATAGATGGGATAATAATGTTTTAAAGAAACAAACAACATCCAGGAAATTTTTCCCGATATCTAACCGGAATCTGGCTTGGTGCGACTTGAGCCCATTACTATGTGTCCGGCACTCTGGGTTGATTGACAGGAGATCCTGGCCTTCCTCTCTGTGACAGCCTCTCAAGTACTTGTACAGTGCTATCCTTCTGGCTCAATACTGTTGACACTGACTGTGAGCAGTTCTCCAGGTTTCAAGCAGGATTTTTTCCCTATTATCTTCCACAGGAAAAGCACGTGCTCTGCTTCTGAGGCATCCCCTCCCAGTTCCCCCCAGTCCAAACAGACCGCTCCAGCCACTGTACCATATTGGCACTGAATGTCTGCAGAGACGCAACAGATTTCAAGGGTATTGTAGGACCAAATGACTATCTCAATTGTAAGATGGAATTTAGCCTTCTGAATACAGCAGTCCATGATAGTTGGATGGCCTGCCTTGTCCCTTACACAGATTTGTCGTTTTTATTTTAGGGACCAGATGGAAAGAAATGGGACGCTTCTAATACTCCTATGCAGGGTGGGAGCAGAGGTGACCTTCATCTCCCCAGCCATCTGCTGTGCATATTTGCTGGTCATGCTATTTCACCAGGGCACTTCAGAGGGGGAGGGAAGAATGCTGGAGCAGGCCCTGGACTGCTTGGATCATGGCCTCTTCGGTCTGCTTCCCTCCCTTCCCCACCTGCCAGAACTTCCCCTTTCCTGCTGCTGATTGGTTTTCTGACCTCAGAGGGCCAGTTGGAAGGGATGGCTCTCCCACTCCCATCGCCAAGGTTGGAGCACTGATCCTCACCTCAGAGCAAGGGACCCCTCACATGCGGTGGTCCCTCAATGGCCAGAGCCATCGAACGTTCTCACATATACTATTTTTAACCACCTAAGCACTAGAGGAAAAATACTCCTCAAACAGCCTCCTAAAATCAGTCTTAAATAATCAGAGATTTTACTGTATTACATAATGGGGCATATACTGCTTGTGCAGAACTTTACTGAGGTACTTCTAAATTCTGTATTAAAATAAGACATTAAGCATAACAAGTTTAATATTTTTCTCCGGATTATTACAGTAACTTTTATATATACCCTTTTTGTAACTTCAAGCATTTCCAGTGCAAAGATGGATATAATACTCAAAGCTGCATTATGATTTTAGAGAAGGCAAAAAGAAAAGATAACTACCTAAGCAGTAAACAAACATTTTGCATCCATGAAGATTTTCTTAATGTAAAAAGCAATAAGAAATAATAAATTATGGATCTACTTCTGCACAAAATGTCTGGTGCTGATGTTAGAAGCACGTTTTCCATCACTGTTTTTGCTGACTTTCTCCTCGGATATTTGTGCAAATTTACATTTTAGCCTCGTTCACGTTTGTAATCAAGACAAGAAAATTCAACTTTGCACAGTGCTGGCCTAATTTTGGAAGCGGCAGTACAACAAATGAAAGAAAAAGTTATGGATCTACATGAGAAATTCTTCATAAAGGTTTGTATGCATCATTCTCAAAAAGTCACATGTTAAGTACCCCGGGCTCATTTAAATCAAGGCATTTCAAATGTACGTTGTGTAACACCAAGAGAAAAATCCAGTTTAAATTGCTCAGCTAAATCATTTCCAATTTGCTCTTTAAAACTTTTCTAAACAAAAGGTACAACAGAACCTTTATTGAAAAGGAGATAAGTCAGAACATTTACTGGTGTAATGTAAATGCACATGACTTTTGTGCTGCATAGATCCAGCTGTTTGGAGACAGAAAGACAACAAGAACATGTCACTGGTTTCTTCTCTGCCGTAACTGAGTGGCTCGGGCCTGTACCAACACTATTGCATTGTGCTACATTGCTGTACCATGCAGCACCATGGATTTTGTTGCACCAGTTCAGCCCCTCGACATGACCCTGATCCCTTCTGCTTATTGCTTTGTCTGGCAAAGCAGAGGCCATTTGCCTGCTTGTTTATCCTATCCATAGGACACAAAGCAAAGTGGTCTGGTGCTGGGGTTGAGGTGCGGAGGGCATGAGCTCTTTGCAAGGGAATGAATGGCCCTCTTGGTGCTGTATTGGCCCTGGACTGTAAAATCCAGGTCTGGGTCTTTACCTCTAAGGTAGGCCTGCTCAGCATGGGTAGTGCTGCCCAACAGTAACCTTGCTTATCCAGTTAAAAATAGTTGTAGTTTCCTAGTCCTGAGGAAGATGGTCAAAGGACTAAACATGCAGCAGTGTTTGGCTTGTGACCCCACCTTACTGGACCAGTTAATGAGCTTCTGCTTGATGTTATGATTAGCTTAACAAGTGTGTGCCTTGTACTATGCTTAGTTAACTAGGCGATGCTATGGTATGGTATGTTGTGAGAATCCCGACTGACATTGATGGAAAGCCTCAGGTGTCATGACTTGTGGCTGGCTAATGAGGATGGGAAACTTCATGTCTCAGAGTTCAGTGATGGGAAGCTTCATATAGTATACAGTTGGGCTTATTGATGAAGTAAGGAGGTAGTTATGCATCATTTAGTCCCTGCCCGTGTAACATCCAGCTCCTTCTCCAAGTAGTCTATAAAAGCTAGCCATTTTCCTTGGGGGTGGATATTTGGACCATCCATGAGTGGCTTCGCTAAGTGTCCATGCCAGCTGTTTGGAGCCTCTTGGCAGGGAGGTGCATGCTTGGTGTTCCACTACAGCACAAAAGGGGCCATTCATTCCCTTGCCTGCTAAACTCTTTGGGATGCTAGCTTTCCAGAGTAAAGTGCTTGTCTTTTCAATAAACCCTTGTTATAAGTAAACCTGGACCCAGCTTACCAGTATCTTGGAGTCACTCAAACCTGCAGCCTGGAGTCAGGCCAGAACATGTTCAATGCCTCCTTTGGAAACACCCCTGCCTTGTCTTGCTTCTACTCCAAGCCTACCGCAACTACCATCACACACTTTTCAGAGTGTGTTGGAACTAAGGCACTACAATGGACTGCTCATTTTTCTGAAAGAAGGGCAATGGATCCTGGGAGCAGCGGGTGCAATTTCAAGAGGGCAGACTGGTTTGGCTATACTGTTCCAGAAAAGAAGATCACAGCAAAACTTACTGGCAGATGGGAACAGGCTCCTTCTCACATATGCCTCCATTTTTGCAATATGCTTCAGGACACTCTGGAATTGGGAAAAAGAAGGAAAGGGGAAAAAAACACATAACTGTGACAAGGGTAAAAATTTAGATCTGCTATCTCTAACTTTGTGCCCTCCAAATCTTTTGGACTTCCATTCCCTTCAGCTGGAACCAAGGTGGCCAATGGACAGAGCTGTGAGTTGCAGATCAAAACATCTGGCACAAGTAAAGGAAGAATGGAGTAGACATGCACTACATTTGAGACATACCCATTGGATAACATGACATTAGAAGACTTTTCACTGGGAGAGAGAACTAAGGGCTGGTGTGGTGTGATGGTTAAAGTGTTGGACTGGGGACTCAGGAGATCTGGGTTCTAGTTCCCACTCAGCCATGGAGCCAGCTGGGTGACTTTGGGCCAGTCACTGACTCTCAGCCCAACTGACATCACAGGGTTGTTGTTGTGGGGATAAAATGGAGTATGTAGGTTGTCCTGGGTTTAGAAGGCTCTTTGAACAAAGGTGGAATAGAAATAATCTGTAACATCACACTGAACATTACGCATTAGGGGTATCAGATCACAAACCAAAAATTCTCCCCATTCCTTTGAGCCTACATATGAATTAGAAGTTAAAACAGTTGGTTTTTCTTGCTGACACTTGCCCATATATTAGTACTAGTATTTCATTTTGTGATCTGTGCTCCTTCTTTGTACCTATAGCAAGTAGTGGGGGGGGGGGGGGGACACTGCACAATATAGACTGAAGAAGCCACTGCTGCCCTTCTGGGGAACCTTTGGGTTGCATTCTGGCAGCATTATTCTCAGAAAAAGGAAGGCTGTTCTGAGGCCAGAGATTTTAAAATGTGCTTAATTTTATGAGGGCTGCTTAGGTATAATTCCATATGGTTCAGCATCAAATCTCTCTCTGAAATCTGCTTGAACAGAGAACTCTAACACATGTATACATATATACATAGTGAAAGCATCATAAATGTTCTCCTGGATAAATTTAAACACATCTTGTCACAATGGAATCTGCCTATTTTATTTATGTTCTGTAAGCTAAATAATAAAAAACACAGTCTTTATTGTGAATGAAATTTTAATTTAAAACTGGAAGAGTACCTGAACAACTGGATTCATCAGGAGCAAAATCAATGCAATCTGTAATACCATCACAGCGTCGGGAAACTGGAATACAGCTATTTGTCGATGGACAGAACAAGGACCCATCGAAGCAATCTTTAGTAGCTAAAAGAAAGAAGGAAAGAAACAAGATGGTTAGAGATTCTTGGTATTTAGTGACACAACCCTGCAGTAAAATGCATAGCTGGTTACATCCTTACACACTAAAACGATGCTCCAGGGCAGTCATGGTTGCCATTTGCCTTTGTGGCCCACTAACTTCAAATTGCTACTTCTAAGCTAGAACGTTCTTAACTGCTTGATTCTGAGTATGTAAAAGCATATGGTCCATTGCATCCTCCAATTTTGCAAAGGACGGCCCAATATATGCCCTAGAAGTATTTTCACTGAGCAGCGGGGTAAGAATGCTTCAAACAAATCTACTCAAAATGCATATAACATGAGCACATGAATAACAATTCCCAACAGATACGCCTCAGCTGTGGGATCCTCCTGATGGAGATGCTTCAAAGAGTAATGCTGAAGACCAATTCACATCAAGTAGAATCACCATTTGATTACTCCATTCACCATTTGATTATTCCTGTACAACATGCAGCAAATTGAATTGACTCTCCTTAAAAGCATGACCTAATTTAAAAAAATCAGGCATACTGTTTGATCTGTGATGGCTGATTCACACATGCTGGTTAGCACTTGATTTTTCACTGATAACATGATCAATATGCAGTAGTGAACCTTGGGTATGCTCAGGACCCACATCAGAGGACTTCTCAGGGCCTCATTCCAGATTAAGGAACAACTTACTTCTGGAGCTAGAGCTGCTACTGCTGCTGCGACTGCTCTTTGGGCCACCCCATAAAAAGGTAGGCAGGTAGCATCTGCACTAGCTGCTCAGTGCCTTAACCTTGCCCAGGCAATCTCCTCCCTTGCAGAGGGATGCAGTCACTTCTGATTGGACAGCTCTGGCTAGAGCAGAACTTCTCCTCTGAAATGGGATGCTACCATCACCTTTCCAGATTTTCTGCTCCAGCCCTGCGGGGGTTCTCTGTGGGAACTCACACATGCTCAGTTATGAATCTGAAGCTGCTGAAAAGCATCATTTTGAAAGGTGCAGTGGGTAGAAGAGGGCAGAGAGCAAGGACAAAGTGGTGCCCCGAGCAACCTCTAATTCTAGCTGCCGCTGGCTACAATCCAGAGAGACCTTGTATTTAATTTTGTATTAAAACTGTACAGCAGAATAAAATATTTTGCAGTACAAAAATTCAAAGCACAATTCTGTTTAAATTATTCAGTAGTTACACAAAAAGGAATATTTATCATAGCACCAATAATTTACTGCCCTACATATTCTATTTTGTTTTGCTGAAAGCAAAATACTATGCCTCCAACCATAAAAATATCAACTGTACATTACTTTTCCAAAGCTACATGTCATCATGCTGTAGCTTTTAGTTATAATCGCTCAGATCATCTAACCTCAAGGAACTTTAAAGGGATAATCTTAAGAGAAATGTATACGCCTCCAACTAATTCATGATGGAATCACTGATCTATAGAATGTGACCCAAATGCTTGTGTTTACTCTTCCAGAAACTAACAGCATTCAACTGTTAGAAAGCCTGCTTTAACAAATGAAATATTCTGTACCATTGTCCAAGATTATTACTTTTAAACATTGTTTAAAAAACTGTGAACAGATTTTTTTAACCAATAGATTGGTGGGGATAAATTTTATATTAAGGAGGATTGCTCTGAGTATGAGAATATAAAGTTGCACAAGGGAAAAACTTCCTTTAGGGCAGGGGTCTCAAACTTGCGGCCTGCGGGCCAATTGCCCGGACAGGCGGGGCATGGGGAAGGGGCCCTGCGGCCTTCAAAGCACCGGTGGCGCCCGGGCCGGCCTCCGGATGAGCAGCCCACCACCACTGTGGTGGTGGAATACTTGATGTGGCCCAGCCTCACCCAGACTCTCCTTCCAGCGGCCCCCAGGTAAGTTGAGTTTGAGACCCATGCTTTAGGGTGTCTTTAGGACTCCCTCAGGACTCCCTTTAGCGTGCTGAAAATGACCAAGGACCACCAGTCACGAAAATGGTGACAGGTGGAAAGGGCTTTGCCAGCTTCAGCTGCAATCACTCCAATGGTTTTATATGGATACCTAATCCATTTTTGGAAACTGATGCATGCTTTGCCACAGTGATTTGCTTGAAGCTGGGAGCACCACTGTCCATCTTCCTCAAGTTAAGCACAGATATTGTCTCTGGAGGCATTATGCCTTGTCATCCCATTTCAGACAGAATTTGCTGATCCAATGGTTCTAGGGGCAGAAGTTGGCCTCTTGTGGTCCTCCAAATGTTTTGGCCTACAATTTCCATCAACATCCTCTCATAGGGATGTATGAACATTTCATTTTTGCTCACAAAAAATGTCAGCATGTTTGAAAGTCCAAATGAAAATGCAACCACATGCCAGCCAGAAATATCTGTTAATTCTTAAACTCTTTCTGCATTCACACTTCTCATTTATCCCTTCCTTCACCACTGTCATTGCTAGTTTCTTTCATCCTTTCTTCCAGCACTATTGAGGACCACCTGAAAGTGAGCTGAAGTTAACCCAGAAAACACTGTTGAAAACCACATTGATCTCTCAATGATGGAGCAATGTTGCTTGTAAATAATCTCGTGCAATTATGTAGTACAAGCCAGGCTAAGTAAGGTACTTTCAGATCACATGAATATCATTGGGAGCATTAACTGCGGGCTTCAATTCCTTCACTCGAGTTCATGCATGGAAGAGTCACACTTTGCTGTCACCAGTCAGTGGCTCCAGTCCAGACCTGTGTGCCTTGCTCTCCTTCAAACAAATGGGAAGTGATTTATAGACAGAGGCAGATTGTTTACTAGGTCTGGGAAGACACACAACAGCTTCTTCTCCCTTCTTGCAGGTCGTGCTACTAAAGCTAAGCCTGCAGGAGTATCGCAGCAAGGCTGCAATGTCTGGTCAAGAATGAAGAAACTGGGCAAGGCTGCAGCTCCACAAAATTGTAAAAATCAATATTTTCTCTGCTAACTGAGATTAGCTGTGCGCTGTTCCATGAATGTTAGTAAAGGAAAATATTGTACTTTAGAATGGTGTGTGCAGGACTGCAATCCTGACTAGCCGTTGTGGCACTTCCTTTTAAGAGCACCTTGGCATGACAACAGGAGGAACTGCTGCCACCACCATCCAAGTAGAAAGCCAAGCTGGGCTGGGCTGGGCTGGCTAGCAGGGCAGCTGGGAAATGCGACCTCCGAGTATCTTGTCTGGCCCAACACTCAGACCTGACCCTGCCTGATGACAGTGAGCTTCACACACAGCACCTGTAAAAAAGTGATAAATGGTCCCAGGCCACTGTATCTACCCAATGCTCTGCTGCATTACCTCCATAAGCTATCGTGTAAATAATAAGCGTTTGGAAAATCAACCCATCACTGTATAAATTTGCTGCACAACACAGAAAGGCCCATGAGAAGCATTGGGGCGACTGCAATAGATTTTGTATGACTGATTGTGCAATCCTCACATACTCTGGCAGGTTTGGGATTCTTCGGGGGCCCAGCTCTGAGATCATACAATCATGTGAAGCCTGTGCTGCACCCCAGCCCCTCAAAGGCAGTGAGGCAAGAACCATGCCAGCTGCCCTCCCAAACAGCGGCTCAGAAAGAGGAATAAGGGGCATGCTGAGAGAATCGGAAGAGGCTGGTACCCCATAGCCCTTGCCTCACTGCTGCTGCTAAATCTAGACAGCTGAAAACAGCTGTATACAGAATAGAAAGGGTGTGAGGTACAGAGCACTGAATGCAGCTGCTGTGATTTGCGCCCTGCCTTGGATGCTTGTAAACCTCTGAAAAATGAGCACCTTCTGTGGATACAAGAGTCCTGGACTTCAGTCTTGTCTAAATAATCTTTTTCACCACAAAGAGCCACACTAGATTTTGCAAGCAGAGTGGGAACTGCTATTTAAAGTAGCATCTAGCATGTTTCATTTTGAAAATAAATCTTCCATTTCATTCATATATATATATATATATATATATATATATATATATATATGATACATGCGTGTGCACACGTTAATTGAATATACAACTGATAATTAGTGAACATGAACTTAATGACTATGTAGTCTTTGGATGTTCTGACGTTCTTGTGTCACCGAGTAATGTCACATCTTGGAGATTACCCAGAAACAACATACAGGTAAATCAAATATCTTCTGGCTTGACTGAATTTGAGGTTTTAACAGCATATTAGGGGATTTCATAAACTTGTTACTTTGATTTTGATCTGTTCAACCCTGAGTAGGATTAGTTCAAGTAGCTCCATTTTATGAGAACTAGTTGACTTATTTATTTCTGTTACTTTGGGTAATATCAACTGATCAGGCTCATTAATGCAGAGGCAACCTTTTCAGAAGTGTTTGGAAACTCATCCTACAGTGAGAAAAAAGTGATGTGAAGTCATCCTCATTTTCAAGCTGCTTGTCATGATTTTTAGAAATGAATAGCAACTTTTTTTGTGACCAACCAGTAGAACAGGAATTGGGACACATTCTTGCCAGGGATTAAGAACACAATCCCAACCACCTGATGGTGACAGCTGGAGGGGTTTAGAATGACAAGCACACTGGTGCCTTTCCAAGAAGTGCCAGCGGTGGTGTCTTGCTGCGGTAGAAGTCTAAGCTGCACTGGGATGGGTGGAAAGCTGCTGCTGGCAGTTCTCCTGCCAGCAGAAGGAGGCAGGACTAGAAATGGAACATTCCATGAGCAGAGAGAAGCTGGCTGCACCCACTGGATCCAAACTTGCTTCATTCTCTTAAATGCACCAAATCTGGGTCCATCAGCTATGCTAGCCCTGGAGCTGGTATAGCTAATCCTACCCCTCATCCCGTTATCAGTTCAACTCATTGTCCCCCATTGCCCCAAATCAGGATTGCTCTGCAACATATCAGATATTTATTAAAAAGGCATATCCCTAAATTAAAACAATGAAGATCTTTCTTTACATGTGTGTGTGCCCAGCATTGCTCATAAGCAGTGTTTAAGAAGTTCAGTCTGCACAGTATAAGGGCATTGGAGTAAGACAGGGCTCTAAAACAGCTGGATGACCCAAGAAATAACAAAGATAGTGTTGTAGGCAAACTGTGTACAGTTTTACTGTAAGCATAGCTGTGGCCACGTTGCTGTTCTCTTGGAAACCAAACACAGGTTACCACAGACAGGGGTCCAAATGACTGCCAAGCACGCAGCACTCGGCCACGAGTACCCCAACTGTGCTGAGTGGATTGCAGAACGTGGATGAAACATTTCACTCTGACTGCTTAGGAGAAGGATTTCCTTAAGACAGAGACCTAAAGAACATTTATTGTCGGCACATAGTTAAGCTTTGGACCTACACTTAGCTCTAAGTCTAGGAGTTCTCTGACCATGTTAATGCCTATCTTATTCCTTAAGTTGCAAATATTGCTTTGCAGTTAATGAATATTGAATGTTGTCCATGGTCCCTGACAGTTAAAACTGACTTCTGTGAGAGACAATTAACATCATCCTATTAATGTTTCATTGTGCTGATATTAAAAATATGTGGGATCATGAATGTTAATGAAGTTTTTACAAGTGCTGTTACTTTTGTTTGCATCATGGGTAGGGGGCTAGATCTTAGTCTATCTTTAAATATTCTGTTTCTCTTTCATAGTTTGTAGGGATAAAATTCCAATAAATAAAGAACATAAAAAGTCATTTCTGTCTCAGAGTTGCAAGCAGTTCAGTTACATTCTGGTCATGTGAGAAAAAAAATATAAACATTATTTCAATGTTTATTCCTTATTATATTAAATCATCCAGTTAAAAAAAATCCACCATGCAAGATTAGGATTTAGAATGGCAGAAGGATTGGCTAAGTGCAGTATTTGTAACAATAAAAGATAATTTCATGCTTCTGCAATGTAGAGCGAGAAAGAAAACCCACCATATTAAGAGCTATAAAGCAACACCAACATCTATACCCTATTATCAAGCCCTTCCATCAGCAGTGCCGGAAATCTCCCGTCTATACAAATCTTTACCACATATGGCAAAAATTTTGTGGTGGAGATGAAGGTTTCCAAAGATCTGAGAGAGAGATTTTCTGATAGCTTCACTTTTCATTCTGGACTTATGTTTTATCTTTGCAGCTTCCCCTCACCTCCCCCCCCCCCCCCAAGTCCAGCTTCTTCTCTGGGCAAAAGGATTATCACTTGATAAAATTGGGCTCAAAACCCAGAAAAGAAAGTGGGTGGCCTGTGGTATAGACAGAGGAAGCGGAATATGAAGGGAATCAATGCACTTTGAATGAGAGAAGCCTGCTTTTTTAAACCACATAGCTTGGTACTTTGGGAAAGTATCTTAAAACTTATAAACATTCACATATTGAAGGTCTTCTGTGGTTTTGAAATTCATATAGAAATATAAATGATGCCAAGCACAGTATGTGAAATCTGAAGAACTAAATGAGGGGAGGGTATAGGCCTGCAGGATTTATCATTTTTTATGCAGTGTGTAAGTTATCCTAAAGCTGAAAATCTAGGGCTGACATAGATGATAACACAAATCTAGTAAAGGCTAATGATAAAGCACATTGGTTTTTTAATTTTAAAAGCAAAACAATACTTTAGAATAACAATAATTTAAAATCCTGGTCCATCTTTTACTTTTGCTTTTATACAACCCTGGAGTACTTAATAAGACTTGCGCCTAGGTAAGTGTGCATAGGATTTCAGTCTTAACATACTTGGGTTCATAGCTATTCATAAAATGGATTTTCCTTTGTTGTTTTATCCTTTAGAAACAAACAGATGAAGATTCTGGGTTGTAGTCCCTGCTTGTCTATGAAGCTCACTGGTGACTTTGGGCCAGTCACTCACTCTCAGTCTAACCAACCTCACAGGGTTGTTGTAGTAAGGAGCTATGTAAGCAGCCTTGGTTTCCTCATAAGTGGAAAAAAGGAAGGGTATAAATGCAGTGTAATAGGATTAGCAGTCCTCTTCCTCCTCTTCCATTCCCTTCAGTATAAGATCAGCCAAAAGGGCTGTAAAAATAAAACTTTTTCCTCCTGTGAGGTGTGGGGGAAGCCCTCCTCTCTCTCCGCATGCACACAAACAAGAGTTCCCTTTGTACCATCTCATTCAAAGCTCTGAATATTTCTAACTCATTTTTTAAATCTAGGCATAAATTGTTTTTGAATCAACAAAGTTGTCATTGATTACATCTGAGTATTTTTCCTTCAGGCCAATATGTCAAAGGACCTCCCTCTAAGGTTAACTCATGTTATTTGGGCCCCTGCTACGGAATACCTGTATGCCTCTACTACAGGGGTCTCAAACTCGCGGGCCAATTGCCAGGACGGGCAGGACACGGGAGAGGGGCCCCGCGGCCTTCAAAGCGCCGGCAGCGCCCAGGCCGGCCTCCGGATGAGCGGCCCACCACCACCGCGGGGGTGGAATACTTGATGCGGCCCAGCCTCACCCAGCCTCTACTTCCAGCGGCCCCCAGGGAAGTTGAGTTTGAGACCCCTGCTCTACTAGGCTTTTAGAGCCTGGTTGCGTAGCTTTCCATCTCTTACCTTAAGGCACAATCCTATGGCCTTTGCAGGCCATCTAGGAGGCCATAGGAATCCCTGGAGCCCTGAAAGTCCAAGCCCTGAGATCACAGCTGGGGTCCAAATTCAGAGCAGCCTCCCCACCACCACCTTCATAGCTGACACCTTCATGTGTGGCTGCAGCTGTAAAGATGTAAGTGCTACTATGGAGGCAGCTTGGGTGGAGGGCAGGGAAGGGGCAGGGAGGAGAGGAGGCAGGCTCCATTAGGACATGAGGAATCCAGATGGTGCTTCAGCCTCTTCCCCTCACAAGCTGCGCTGTGTTTGGAGGGTGATCTTTGCCCCTGTGCTCCTTCTGCTTTCCATGGGAAGCTGGCAATCTTCTCACTTTGGAAGGTTACCAGCAGCCATGCTGGATAATGCCCTTTACCATTTTGGCATTACACCAATCAATACATGAGGTCAAAGCATCTTTCTATACAGTAAGCCTATTACTGCATAACATAATGCAGTAACACATTATAGTCATATTGGTCTATTTCTGAGGGACAATGCATCCAGATTTTTTCATCCTCCCCAAAGTGAATCCTTAACTAAGCATGGGGGAAATATAGAAATGGGTCCCGAAGCACTGGGAAACTAGTAATCCATAAATATCTCTAGCATCAATATAACAACAAAAAATCTTATACATACACGCACACCCCCTTTCTTTGACTTTTGGGAGCATTTTGACAAGACCACTCAGCTTGTCTTTGACATGAGTCCATGCATTATATTATTCCATATACATTACGCTAGGTTTATCATCTGATATTCAGCATTAATCTGTTGCTGTGGTCTTTTGTATGCACATTGGGGCGGATGGAAATAATCTTAGGTGCAGCTGCCCGAGCACATGCGACTTACAACAGTTGGCTTCATCTTCACTGAACTGACAGTCAGTGACCCCGTCACATCTCAAGAGCGCTGGGATACACAGCTGGGCACAAGGGAACTCCGTTTCTTTGCAAAGCCTTGAAGGTGCTGTGGCAGGCGTCACAGTCGGACAGGCCTTTTCATCTGTCCCATCAGCACAGTCTTCCACTCCGTCGCATTGTGCAGAGAGGGGCACGCACTGCTTCACGTACACGCAAGTGAACCTGTCACTGCCACAGGTTGGAGGCTGTGGGGCCACTGGTCCTAAAGGAAGATAATAAGGTCAAACACGTCAGCTCACAGATGCTGTGCTTGAGTTATGGGGCCTGAGAAATTCTCTGCTGTGTTGTTGGGTTGTGTTCCCTCTACCGCCAGGCTAGTATTTTCAGAAAGGTTCTGGGGAGTCTTGGGCTGCAGTCCCGTGCACCTGGAAGTCAGTCCCATTGAACTCTCACTGGGTTGGCGCACATAAGATGCTGTTCGTTGCAGTTTGTTAGCCTCCTGCATTTTGGAATCATGTTATACACAACAGGCATAAGTAGTATCCCTCTAAATTCACTTTATTATCACAATCACCACTGCACCTCCCTTTTATTTCAAAGGGAGAGAGAACCTTGTTACTTTGAATAATGAGAAAATTAAATCCTTGGCAGAATCAGGACCTAAGTATTTATGCCTTTTGACACCTCATTCTTTGGAAGAAAAATTTAACAGGGGTCAGCTTACAGAAGGACCAATGCGATGATTCAAACAGTCATGTTTCAATAGAGGTTTTAGAAAGAAATCAGTTGAAGAACATCAAATTAAATACATTTAGGACTGAGGAGCCAATATGATTAAGAGTGACAAGTAGTGGAGTCTTGACAGGGAAATATCTGATGGTTGATTAAATACTTATCTCCATTAATCTAGTGCAAATCTAAACTTAATACCTCAGAAATCAGTGGGAATAGTCTAGATTTATAGAACACTTTCAAGGTCTTTTCAGACAAAGTACTGTTGAGCTGTCAGCTAGTAAACAATTGACACAATAAAGCCTCAGTTTTTATTGCTTGTACTGTTCACTATAATGTTTCATTAACATTAATGATTCAGTCTTTCCTGCAGCATTAAACTTTGGCTTGAAATTGTTAGGCCTCTTAGGGTGGCCCAGATATACACTGGAATATAATTCAGTTTCTTGAGAACAAAGGGAGTCATAAACATTTATATATAACACAAATGAAATGTTTCAGCTTAAAAAAATATTCAGAGGATAACATGCTTTTATTTCCAGTAATAAATGCCTTCAGGATCTCAGACTAATTTACACTTATATGTTAGTATTCAGTCCCAAGATGTCAGTAATGAAGATATTCAACCCTTCTTTGTAAACATACTTGTGCAAGTGAATGGCTCTAGTTTCTTTCAGGATCTAACAACCTAAAAAAGGATGCAGCCCAGCCTTTTACTACCAATTTGCCATTCCTTGCAGGTGCTGGCTCTTTGCATGAGAGGCAGCCTTCTTTTGAAAGAGTTGCAACACGGTTTTATTTACTTGCATTTTTACCCTGCCCTTCTTCCAAGGCCTACACACAGTGAGGATTTTTGGTTTGGTTTGATAAGGATTTGCATATTAGGGATAAAACAAATTTGAGATTAAAAAAGAAAGGAAGGATGTGGGAGAAACTGAAACTAACACCTTTCTCCATCCAACTCCAGGGCTTTGAGTGCTTTGCACGCACAGTCTGTGTTTGAATCTCTACATATTTAACCATGTTAGTGCTAAGCTAGGGTTGCCACCTCCTTTTTCCTGGGAGGCTCTTCATCTATAACAGCGCTTTGCAGATCTCCATATGTGACAGAAGGGAAGAAAGCAAAATGGACAGATTCTCCCATACTTAACAAGGTCCTTTGGGCAACGTGCTCTCCCACACCATTTTATTCTCACAACAATCCTGTGAGGCAGGTCAGCTGAAAGAGAATGGCTCAAAGTTGTCTAGTGAATTCCGTAGCAAATGGAGATTTGAACTTCAGATTCCCTGTTGCTTGTTCAACACTGTAGTAAGTATCACCATGAAGAATAAGCTTTGTAGATTGAATACAATGGGCACAATTCAAAGAGAGTTCAATTGGCTAATGATCCATTGAGAATGAAGCACTGTAATTATCCTCTCCTGTTTACTTTCCATGGGACTTGGGAAGACAGTGTTTTCATTAAGTATGCTCTGTATATATTATCCAACAATTTGAGGCAAATATCTGCTTTGACAGTAGCTAACAAACTCTGATGGATCACACGTTAACTGAAACAAGCTGAATTCCCAAGGGATTTAGAAAATTGTTGCTCTTAAAGGATTTGTCAAAGAAACATATATGCTAAACAAGTTTTTCTTTAGTGATTTCCATGATGCCCAAACAATGGCATTTGTTCAGAACACATTAGGAACTGGAATAGTTTCAAAAGGCTTTGTGTACTTGTTATAGTTGTTGCTAGTTTCTACTAGTATTTATGTAGTTTCTTTTGTGTCTAAGTGTATGTTAAAGATGAAAAACAGCAAATAGACACTGAAAGCTGTATTACATGTAATTGCTTTTCTCTTTCTTATGGAATGTCTTGATAAGGAATTATGGGATGTTTTGAAAAAAATTACTGTGCAATTGCTTGAGCAGTGGAGACTTTGAGCAATTGTTGCTCACTACTTTGTAGCTGGCAGGTTCCTGTGATAAGTTGTGCAGTCAACTGAAGCCATGAACTTGGCTGCCAGCTCCCTGTAAGGGCTTTAGCAACAGTGGAAAACACACTGTCTTAGGGTGCAGTCTAGGCATGCTTACATAGAAGAAAGTCTTAAAGTTTCCAGGCTGAGAATTAGAGGAAGTTTTTCTGTCTAAACATGTATAGGACTGCCCTCTCAGACCCACTGCAGCCTACAATAGTTGACTGACTTGCTGTTGAGCAAGACATATCTGTAGTATGTACCTCCTAATGGCATCTCAGCATTGACCTGTAGTGCTCAGATTAGTTTCCAGGCATGACATCAATGACAACAATCCAATTTTAGCTCAAGAGTGGAAAAGGTTATGGCACAATCCTGTGTATGCTTACCTTGCAGTAAGCCACACTGTGTTCAGTGAAAATTACTCCCTAGTAAGTATAAGATCACAGCCTTGGGATTGCAGCTGTGTTGCTGTTGCCCTCGCAGCGGCCTTTTTCTTTACCTGCCGTAGCAATACACATAGCTTGATGGTGATGAGCATAATAAAGCACATTTGTGGATTTAGGGTGTTTCAGATTAATGATGGGGCTCGGAAAACAGAATTATCCCCCCCCCCCCAAAGCTCTGTAAATAGTTTGACTTATATCAGGCTCCGTTTTGAGCCAAACGGGACTCCAATGTTGTTGTGTTAATGTCACTGGGAAACAATGAGGTCTATTCTTTCTTTTCATTTTTCCAGTGTACCTCAAAACCATTTGCTACATCTCCATGTGTCCTGGATACTCTATATCATTTAATACCACCCCCAGATTACATATAAGGGCAGAGAGAAAGAGAGAGTGTTGTGGTTTGTTGAAAGCTTCCTTTCAATGTAGCTGAGATTAATTTTGAGTCACGGATTTCCTATCTCTCAGTCAATACAATTACTGATAGCCTTTAAAGTTGCTGCAAGACTCCTTGTTTAGAACAGACTAACCCAGCAGCTGCTCTTGGACCAAAAGGGAAGGTACTTTGGAGGCAGCACTGTACACTCTACAGGCACAATTAAACCAGTATGCTTCCACAAAGAAATAGGGTACAACAAGAATACCCACGGATAGATGATGAATGAAAAAGGAAAGACGTGGAAAAAGCAGATTGGGCTTTTAACAAATGTTTGGAAGAAGCCAATGGGCATGCATGCTTCCTCCTTTATTTGTGGGAAAGAATACTCAAGTGCATCTTTTGACTGATTTAATATTGTTATCCAGACTAGATTTACTCAAAGCCAATCCTCTCAATAGGATTTATTTCTGTATGTGTGCTTAGAAGCATCCTAAGAGCCTAAAGGGGATTGAGGTACACTATTTATTGTTGAAAAAGCCTTTTCCTGATCAATAGAAAAGGAGAGTCTTGGGCTGCAACATATAATAAAGTGCAGCAAAGCAAACACTGGATTTGCTAGACCCTCAATTTATTATGGCATTTTTATCTCTGTTTAGTCTGTGGTTATACAAGTTAAGTTGTTGTGAAAAACACAGAATGCCATCTTGAGAAAAGAAGAATAAACCAAGATTACAGCAGTTAGTTCAAACCAATCAAAGACCTGCAGCAATCACCAAAACATTAGCATTCTAAGAATTCCTGCATTTGCAGGAAATAAGTGATCTCTACAAGGACAAGGATTACACTTGACTGATTATTGCAACTTTCACGAAGTCAAACTTTCAGTATTTATGGGCTTCCTGACAGGCTTGTGAGTTATCAGGAGTGTTCACCAAAGCATTAAACTGACTACTGATGCCTGTAATTCAGGGAGCAAGTGCCCAAGGTCTTGCTTTTGGTCTATAAAGGGATAGGTAATCTAGTTCTAATCTACCCAGGAGACCATCTGTACCTGAAACATTAGAATTTGATGAGACTGAATAGACTCCCTGACTCACGGAGTAATTCAAAATGTTCAGAAGTCAGTCCCCCTTCTTGTGGATGCCCTGGATTCTGACACTCTTATCTCCCACTAGATTGCGGTACTGAAACAAAGTCGCCTTTGTGACAGGTTGCGTTATGCTGCAGTAAAACAGGCTTTAATGGAGTCTGACAGTCCACCTTGAGTGTCAGGAGGCCCATCTTTGCTCCAGGTTTCCAGACCTGAATCTAGGCCTGGCTGCCGTTGCCCACAGGATTCCTCACCACAATTTCACTGCATTTCGAAAAATATAGATTGCATTTCCCTTTTGCCTCATCTCTGTTGCAAGAGAGAACATGAACTAGTTCCCAGGAATGGGCAAACATGTGATGTTTGTGCTTGTTGAGGTTCTCCAAATTCTTCCTCAAAACTCATTTTTTCCCCAAGTCCCCCAAGGCAAGTGTGTGACTGAGAAATTTGGCTCTTTCAGTTGAGAAAGTGCACCTTTTCAAAAGCATGTGATCAAAACATGCACTTCCACCAGTAAGTTAGAATATGAACATGCAAATTTGGGGGAAAGGAGGGTGTATTATGCAAGTGGATAGTTAAACACTTCAAAAGTGTGGGCACAACTGCAAAATATCCTCTTGTTCACATTCATAGTCAGGATGCTGAACAGGACATGTAAACATGATTTGTGAACAGGAACAAAATTCTCACACTTCTAATTTCAGGCCCAGCTCTAGAACGTGGCATGAGTGGGCTGTTAGCAGGGCCCCAGTAGCCCGGTAGAACCCACTGAAATTGCTGGTCTGAGGGCCACACTTTAAAACTGCATTTAGCTGTGACGCTTCAAGCAGGATGGGGTACCTGCTCCTAGCAGGCCTAGGAGTATTACTGTGTTGGGGATACCATGGGAAATAAAATCAGCAGCTAAACTGGTAGACACTGCTATGGTCTACTTATGGAACAGAAAAACCCACCATGTGGCAATTTGCCCAGGAACCAGCACAGATGGACTTTAGACTGAATTGATCCTAGACTATTTTTATTTGTTTAATAGTCCAAGAAATTGAATGATATTTTAATTTGTCATTGATTGTCATGAGACTTACTGGATTTGCCATGGGAATTAATTAAAATGAACTCTTAGAACTTGAAAAAGTATAGAGCATTTTCTAAGGAATAATTATCCAAAGTGTATAAGTTATTTTTTTTCCGGATCCTGCACACTTGAATTCAGCAATGCAGTAGTTTCAGTGAGTTCACTGTTGTGCAGTCATGTTTCCAAGCTTTTGTCTCAAGCCATCAAAGGAAACAAAGAGTATTCCCAAGTAAGTGGATTCTCTCTCTCTCCCTCTCTTTTGTAAAGGCAGTTGGGATTTACAAGATTCCAGAAAGTACAAAATTGAAACCAAAACAAAACACTGGAAACCACACAATTGGAAAACCATCAAATTAGCTGGCATTCTATGAAATGATCTCTATTATGTAGCCTAACAAAGCATGTTCGGGCTGAATGTGACTCAGTGGTACTATCTCCAACATACAGTGCCTGAGCAGGCCAATAATAGCAAAACATGTGTTTAAGAGAAGAATATTCATTGACATCTGCAATGCAGGAATTGGCATTTTACTGGAAGGACACATGATCCCATTTTGTCACAAACACTGAAACGAATTCTGGGATCTCACTAAATCCCCCTGCCTAATGGGGGCTTGCTGTTTAAGAACAAATAAAAACCTCCGGTGAACTTAAGGGGCTGATAATGCTTTATTGCTTAGTGGTACCAACCAGCTAAATTGTGATTGCTTCTATTTAGAACATGTTGCCCTGGGAAACCTAAAGTAATTAAAGTGAAGCTGGAGAAGTAATAATGCATCCAGAGAGGGAAAAGAGTTTGCAGCAACAAAGCAATCTTTTAAGGGAAGAGAATATTACAGGAAAAGCATGATAGCAAGTTCTCATACTGTGCCTTTATCTTGGGTTGAAAAGTTGGTGAATAAAGATAACTGTTTTATGCAAAAGAAAAAGTCATTCACAACGTACAACACTTTTATAGGAATGATAGACAGAGGGATAGATGGATGGATAGATAAGGTGCTTTTTAACTTAGAATGTAAAAGATGGAGACAGTTACCTTTCATCATAAATAGTCCCTTCCCTTTCTCTTATAGAACAGGATTAGCAATAGAGCATTGCTGCTCTTTTTTAAAAATAATGTAACTAATCCAATGCTGTAATAAGCACTGCCTCATAGGAAATTCTCCATGCTAGTTTCTAATTAATGGGTCTCTATGAGATTTTCTTACCCATAATTCAAACGTGATAGCTATGGTAGCTTAGGTACAGGGATAACCCACTGGAATAAACAGCAGAGCCATGGGCACAACAGGAAGTATCTAGCGATGATAATTTTCAATATTAGTATTCAGGATCCCCCCCATTATGTATATAATGCAACAATCATGTTACATTTGTGCAGCCCTATTTGTTATCACCAACAAGGCAGCCTTTCTCAGCTGAGTGTTGCGATGCTGTGCTTTCACATTGGCAACTGCAAAAGAGCTGCAACAACACAGCCAGAAGTCAAACATATTTCAACATAATACACCTCCTAGATAGTGATTTACTGATCTTTCACTGTGGCACTGTACCTCTGCTGTCAATGGGAGTGAATGCCGAATGAGCCCATTTAAGTGGTCAGTCAGTTTTTCCCACTAGTATAGCAATGACAACAACAGGCAATTTTTGAAGCAAATTGAGCAAACATCACATGAACACAGTCGCACCTGGATTTACAACACTGCCAGACAGACTTATCATCATCTAAAATATCTCTACCTGATCCATTAACAACCCCTTTGAGACAGAAAATCCCTGCATGGAGTGTGAAGAACACATGCTTAAGAATCTCCCCTTGAAATCTACAGGATTTAACAGTGCTTAACTCCGGCCATGTTGAATCCTCTCTTCCATCCTCTGCTCCACATCCACGCAACTGATCTGCTAGCACAACTAGCGGCAAATTATTCATGAACATATTTTTCAGCACTGTTGCCATTTAGCCAGAAACTGCTGTGCCTGCCATCTGCTTATTGCCAACAACCTAAAAATATCCTTCTTAAACATAGGTAGTTAAAGAAATGACTAATTTTCATACAGCTACCTCATTCACATGCAAATAAAGGCAATTATCTGGGTGATCCTATTCCCTGTGTTGGAGATTTTGATACAGAATGGCTTTTTTCTACAGAATGAAATGCCATGAATGAGGGCTGTGTGAATATTTTGTTTCACTTCATTTTTGACTTGGATTTGCCCCATTTAGACCTCCAAACATAAACAAACATGAGACCATGTTTTCAGGAAAACCTCAGATGTTTCTGAACTTGCATTTCACTTTAAAGGACAACATTTTCATACATTAGTCTATGGGATGTGCATATTTGGTGTGCAGTTGCAAACAATGACTTCCAAAATGCACACTTACTCTATTGAATGTAAAGAAAAACTGATTACAATTAAAAACTGGGAGCAATGTGGAACTGAGTTTCGTCCTAGAATTCAGTTTCAACATGGAAATTAAAATACCTCAATAAACTTGAGGCTCCCTGATTCTCCCACCTCTATGCTTAATCAAAATCCTATACATGTTGCATAGGGCTAAGTCCTACTGAACTCAGTGAGATTTACTTTTGAGTAGACATATAGCGGATTGAGCCTAAAGTAGACTGGATGGAGGCAGATGTCTCTTCAAAGGCAGGCGGGTTGAAATCAAATACCAAGCAAGGTGTGAGGCGAGTCCAAGTTAAGGAACAGCATGAGAGCATCTGTGCCCCTCCTGCCCAGGGCTTACCTGCCTGCCACCTGCTTCCAAAGGCACCGTTCGTCCAGCCAGGCTCTGACGCTGCTCCTGGCTCCAGCACAGGAGAAAGTGCTGGGAGGGCGGTGCTATGAGATGGCAGGTGCTGAATGGGTCCGCCACTGTCCCATCAGTTTCAGACCTTGGAGGTGTTTAACTCAACATTATCCCGAGATAGAAATCAATAGTCATGTTAGAGAAAGCACATAAATGTAATGAATGAATGACCTTGCCAGAGACTCAGGGAGCCTGACTTAACTGTGCGCCTAAGAATCATCTGGAAATCTTCATGGGTAGAGTACAACAATGTTACTGGAACAGACTCAGCAATATTTCTGTTGGAGGGCGGAATACAAGTGATTAACTCTAATAAACAACAAATAAGATGTACATGTCCCTTCTCAAGGCACTCCTCAAGCCCCTGCAGAATTACATACCTCCTGATGCACATTCTGGGGTGAAAGAAATGTCGTCAAGAGCAAATTCTATAACTGCATTAGCTCCTACTTCAGCTTCAAATGCAACTTGGAAAGGACTGTTGCTGGAAAGGACCACACTGGCATATGTCCATGTATCTCTTTTATTTCCAGTTGATGCCCACATCAAAATGTCCATTCCAAGTTCTTCAATGGTGTATACCTATTGAAAGCAAAACACAGAAACTACTCACACCTGGTTTTGTGAGCGTCCTCACTGTTTCCTCTCCTGCAGAGAAGTCTAGGTGAAACATCCCTTCTCAGAAGCTAGTTCTTGCTTGGAGGGAAATCCTCCTTTGGAACCTATGGGGATTTCTTTATTTAATTTTAGATTTATATCTTGCCTTTTTCCTACAAAGGGCTCAAGGCAGCTTACGCCATTCTCCTCCTCCATCTTATCCCCACAACAACAACCCTGTGAGGTAGGTTGGGCTGAGAGTCTATGACTGACCCAAAGTCACCCAGTTGGCTCCATGGCCGAGCAGGGACTCGAACCCAGATCACCTGAGTCCCAGTCCCATGCTCTTAACCACTACACCACACTGGTATTTCTTCCCATTCAGATTCAGCAATCCCTCTCCCTGCCACACACGCAATGTGGATTTTTTATTTTTTGGCAATTAAAATATGCATGTTAGATTATACATTTAATGTTGTGCATAGTTTGGCCCAAGGATGAACTGCTCAGAAGACAAGAGCTTGCTGTTTCTCCTTTTCAATTTGAAGGCCTAACCACTGCAAGCAGCAATAGCACAACTGGTGAAATCTGGAAAGCCCTGTTGCGCTGGGCACTTGTGACTCTTTGAACCCAGAGAGGTGATTTATCATTTGGTTGTTTATTTGCTGTGACAAAAACTTTTCCAGTGCCAGCTGATCAAATGAATCAGTGGAAAATGGAACACATGCCATACAATGCACAAGCAAACATCCTTTAGATTGGAAATATAAAGAGCTTTCTGTGGCTGTTTCTTTTTGCACTATGTATTCTCTCTTGCAGACACGGACTCATTATACAGAATGTTTGCATTCTGAACAAAGGAAAGCCCAACTGCTGCCAAGCCTGGAACTGACATAAGGGGTTCATTTTTGAGTCTTTGCTCCCAGAATTGTTCGAAGGAGTCTGTTCTCTCTTTTCAAAAGCTGGACATTTCTTCAGTGCAGCTGCTGAGGAAATTCATTAGGTGAAAATGTCAGTGGCCGTGATGTGTCAGTGGAAGGGGATGGCATTTCCCACCTTTACCTTCCCACACATAGAGTCCGTGAAGGAGACAGGGAGTGCCAAAGTCAGCACTGTGCGAGCGCACGGCTGCTGACTGCATTTGTACTGCCTGCCTCCAGCAGAGCTGCGCTGCATAGTAAAGTCCGCAGGAACTTCCCCCTCCCTCACACGCTGCAGCCACCACTGCTGTGTTTCCACCTCCCTCTTAAATGCCCCTGTGCCTTTGCTTTCCTTTGCTGAGTGCAGCTCTTTAGCATCAGGCAAGTGTGCTTGGCCAAAGGGGGTACTCTGGCAGCAAAAGTAAGCGGGACCTGGTGGGCCACAGTACATGGCCAGTGACCTGTGCTTGGCTTGGTAGGCCAGACACTGTGCAGTCTGCAATCTTAGCTGCTGAGTAGTTAGCATTGGTCTCTTATGGGTAAAATCTGCAGCAGAGGGGAGACGCCAGATGACCAAAGAAAGGTTTCCCAGAACCAAATGCCAGTGGTACAGCAGCAACTCTCTGAGGAAATGTGAGTCTCTTCAACAGAACTCTTCAGGGCCTGGTGCCAGATGACCTGTGGATCTTAGCCCCTGGTTTAACCAGCACACTAAGATAAAATACTTGGTTATGCAATCACACACAGCAAGCCTTTTATGACAACACTTCTGTACAATTGTGCTTAAGATCCTGATTAAGGTGAGAGTTGAAAGTTGGCTTAGCATATTTGGAGGGACATATTCCAAGACCCCAGTGAACCAGAATTCAGACACACACTTCTTGAAAGTGCAGTTCAGGGAGGAATTGCCCATCTTCCACTTGTATCATTACAAGCACTGATCGGCTTAGAGGAATGGCCTATATGAAACTAAGTGGATGAAAGGATAAGGCTTGCATCACACATAAAAATAACTTATCAGTAAGTTGTTGTTGCCAGTGTGGATTTAGTTCTTTCACTCACACTGGACCATAGTGTGGGAAATCATGCAACTGGCAACCAGGCAAAGCATGGATAATTCTACTCTCATTTGTGAGATCTAAACAATTCGAAGAGTTTGGGAAGCACTAATGCTACTAGATCTCTAACTGATTTTTTCACTTACCTTCAACAGTCTAATTTCTGGGGGAGTCACACAGCCAGAACCAGAAGCAGAGTTTTATATATGTGATGTCCAGAACTAGGAAATATTGCAATGCACACCCAAGAAGACAAGGGAGTGGGAATTTATGATGGGTATTCAAGGTAATTTAGCTGCACTGGAGGATGAACTAAGTTGAAGCGAAGACAGTTCACAGCTTGTTTAAACAGTGGCTCTTGAAGAAGCATTCAGATTGAGAGCCAGAGATCGCTTGATCAATGGGGAGAGCAGGAGGCGATGGAACTTGGAGGCAAGTGGAAGAGCCACTTTTTCACTATAAAAGAAACCAGCCAATAATGCCCCCCCCCCACAAAACACCACAAGGGATCGGGAAAATAAAGGATAGCTGCCATCAGCGTTCTGGCTGTGGTTAGTTTCATACTCCTTCAAATGCCATCGGCCAGTCCCTCTAATTTGCTGGTGGAGGAAGCTTTTTTGGCCTCCCTGTGGTGGAGCTCTTGTATGAGTCAGGCATAATTAAGAAGGGCTTTTGAATAGAAGGGGGAAAGAACAGGGCCTTTAACAATGGCATTCTGAATACACTGGGAAAAGGAAGCATGGCAGCTAGTTTCTTTTATTTGTTTTCGTAATTCATTTTGAGAGAGATCTTTAACCACAATTTTCATAAAAACACCAAAAAGACTTTCGCTGGGCAGCAATACAGGAGGTACTTGAAAAAGTACCCTGAGTACCTGCTTGGATTTACCCATGTGCAGGTCTTAACAGGCTAGAGCTACCTAGATTTAAATTCCCCATGAAGTATGAAGCTTGGGGGCTGACGCTGGCTGATCACTATTTAATCTCAGACTCATATCCCTTTTTTGCTGATTTAATAGGAAGGGAAACCCTAGACATTGCCCAAAACCTCTTGAAGGAAGTGTCAAATAAATAATAATTGAAATCATAACCATTCCCATTGAACCTGGTGGGACTTACAGTGGAACCGGGGGCTGGAAACATATAATGAAAACAAATTGCTTTGATTTCTTCTAAAACCTAAAAGTTCCAAAAATATCAGGCTGGTATCAGCATCCTAGGACAGCTGCCAGGGCCACCACCTTTGAAACTGGTGCCAAGTCCTTCACACTTGTTCCATCAGCCTCTGTTTTCATTTCCCCAATGCCCAAGAATAATGCTATATTGAGCACTCTGAGTATTGTGAGGGAATCAAAATGGTGTACCCTTAACTTTAGTGTATTGTTGCTGTGGCCTGAGAGGAGGCTTGAGCTTGAGGGGAGACATAAGAGAAGTCCACCTAAGGGCACTGAGTTTGGAAACAAGTAGAAGCAAACTTGAAATTGTTCAACAAAATTTCACACAACATGACAGCGTCACTTCCAAAACATGGAAAACAGACAAAAATGGCATGTCCAGTTTGTGTTTCTCCCCACAAAAATGAGCTGAAGTAATAAAAAAAGTCATTTGTAATGAATTGGCTTGTCCTTTGCTGTAATTTATTACATCCCCATTCACAGCAATTTATGTAATATGAACTGCTTAACAAGCTGGAAAACTGAAATATTGGACATATATTGTCACAAGGGAGATTAATTTTGCCTTAACTTTCAGCATTATGGTGATGTGTTCAAGCTGCGCTACAGTGAAAGGAGGCTGAACAGCAAGGGTGCAATCGCTGTCTTCATCTCATTGTTCCCAGCCATGCCACACAGGGGACTCAGGTCTGAAACCAAGTGTGTTCTGAAGGAAAAGGGACTCTATGAAGAGCTGTATTTCAATAACCTGACAAGAAAAGTCTTCTTTGCATTGGAAGAGGACAGATCTTATGAGAGCTGCTCAAGCTGCTGGTCCTTTATGTAGACCATTCCTATCTGATCCTTGTTCAAAAGAACTCAGGGGCCTATATAAAGATCTTCATTGGCCCTAAAAGATGGAAGGAGAACCCAGTTTGGTTTGGAGGCAATTGTACCAGTGAGGTGGGCTGGATGATGCCAGGAGGCATTGCCATTCCAGAAAACCTCTCCTTCTTCCACTACACCTGCTCCACCCATTTTGCCTTCCTCTGTGCAGACTGAGTCACAGAGCTTGTGCCTCTCATTGTGGAGGAACAGATTCCGTCAGTTCCTGGAGGAATGGCTTTTCCAGGTGTTGCCTGAATTATGTGAAATATATGCAAGGGACCTGAAATATATGCATGGATATAAGATCCAGATGGATCTTAGGGTCCATGTGGACTGGACCCTAAGATCCAGACTGAAGCCAGCACATACTCTTCTGTAAAAATGACACCCCTAAACCATAGCTGCAAGATATGAATTTATCATAAGGTCAGCTCTGGGCTCCCGACATCAGCTAGAGGACCTTCCCTGCCTTACTTGGAGATGCCAGGGGCTGAATGTAAGGCCATCTGCACGCAAAGGATTTTGAACCTCCTCATCTTCATCAGGAATCCAATAAAAGTCATCCAAAATCTGGTATAGTATAAGTACAATGCAATTGCCAAAATATTCCTGTGGTTTGCTGATACGTGTAAGCAGTATCAGGTTCTTCAGATAGCCCATATCCAAAAACTGAACTTTTAAAAACTCTTACAGATAAGGAGCTGGAATATAGAGATTTCAATTGGAAGCAGTCTTCAGAATCCAAATGAACCTACCATCATTAATAAGAGAAGCTTCCCAGAAACATGGGAGTACCAATATATCACCTTCTCTGTGAGATGTGGGAGGTACACTAGAAATGAGAAAAACCAAGGAAGAGTCTGCCTTGCTGCAAATCCTCTAGTTGGGCAGGATTTAATAACAGTAAATCAGATAGTCAATATCATAAAACACAAATATTTCCTCCCTTATATAGTGCAAAGAGAAATTGGCCGTGTTACATTTTTGTTACATGCACTACCTAATTTAGAGGATCTAACAGCGTGAAAGTAAATAGTGAAGCATTTCTTCACATAAAGTATTATCAGCTCGATTGTGTACAGCAGCTGGAGGCTAGGAGTGCACACGTGGCTTTCATGAAAAAGAAGTGCTGCTAACGTGGACCCTGTTTTTTCAATCGGATCGGACCTAGCATGAGAAATCATGAAACCAAGAAAAGGATGGCTAATGCTGCTATGATCTACTCAATACTAAACAGCCTTTTTGCTTACCTTTAACATTCCAACTTTGGGGGAAGTACTTGACCAGAACCAGAAGCGGAGCCCGCATATATCTCGGCTGGCAGGGAAATATCTGGTGGTAATTATTCTTGCTTTGTCCCCTTCTTGTTTAGTAGATGAATTGACATATAGGAAATGACGCCCATTACCTTTGGGTAAATAAAACAATGCTGTGTCAGTATTACCGCAGTATCGCAAGAGGAGGAAAGGTGGGGTATAAATCTAATGTAATAGTAACAATACTGTATTAAACTTAAGTAAATGTGATCTTCTTAGGGTGCTGTAATACAATATGAGTGGCCCAGTTACAACTCTAAGCACAGTCAGTCTTTCACTGTAAATTGGGATTTCAGGTCTATGATCACAACTGGAAGTCCAGAACCAGAGCCAGTGTGGCGTAGTGGTTAAGAGCATGGACTGGGACTCAGGCGATCTGGGTTGCCTGATCAGCCATGGAGCCAACTGGGTGACTTTGGGCCAGACACAGTCTCTCAGCCCAACCTACCTCACAGGGTTGTTGTTGTGGGGATGAGATAGAGTAGGAGAATGATGTAAGCTGCCTTGAGCCCTTTGTAGGAAAAAGGCAGGATATAAATCGAAAAATAAATAAATAAATAATCCAAATAGTAGTTCTGAATTACTCTGCAGCATGTGCATGTGTAATCATGGTAAAGTTTGGTGTAGTGTTTCATGCAGTGTCTACGGAATTTATACCTTATGAGACTATCAGCAGAGACTTAGTCTCTGTCCATACAATTGACCATGCAGGAAAGCCATAGGAGAACCAGTTGCCTGCATGTTTTTGAGCATTTACTCAAATGCTCAAAATGCAGGGTGGAGAACTGCTTTAAGGTGAAGGTCCAAATGAGACCCCACTAGGTCTTCCATCTAACAGATGCCATTGCATTAATTACCCTCGAGCACTTGCTGATTAATTACCCCAGAGCCAGGCCTGCCCAGAAAAAAAATCCAGAACTCCCCCACATTTCCCCTTCAGTGATCAGCTCTGAAAAAGGAGATTTAGAGTTAGCACAACCATCCTTTGTGGCTTCCTTGCTAACCTAGGAAACAATGCCAGAACAGAAGCTGTGGCTCTAAATGCTTGGAAGGAGCAGGATCAATGACTTAAAAGAAAATAATACACAGCAAAAAGTGCCTGCTTGTAAGAATAAAATGCTTGTTTTATAAGGCTGTGTTTTTGTATTGCTGTTTAATTAATATAAGGTGACATATAAATGCAATGTAATGACTAATGATCATTGCAATAATCAGATAATGTTTTAGAACAGGAATTGACCACAGCTCAGGCAAGTCCTCAGGCTCCAGGGAAAGAAAATCACTCCTCTCAGAGTGGCTGAACAGTGTTCAGGTTAAGAGGAATCAATCAATGCAACAATATTGTGGGCGACAACTAATGCAGCAGCTTCTCTTTTGCTGGGTCTGCTGCACTCGTAGACACCACTGTTTGCATAACAGGCTTTTGTAATTTTATAAAGAACCTGAAAAACAAGTAGAAATGCTCATTTCTGATCAAGACAGGTCATTTTCTGCCCTATTCTGGATATGAACGTATCTGCTCAGTTTGAGTTATTGTTAGAACCACAAAAACTCCACCGTACAAGTAGAGTTTCTCATCTGCATCGGTGTAATAGCATACTAGACCCAGATCGCTAATTATACACCATCATGATGTACATATGTTGAACCATTTTATACTGTATAAAATTACCCCACCCGTTTTTGTAATGTTTCCATCCTGTGTCCTTTTATAATTACCTATTTGCTGTAACTAAAATTAAGGAATTTCATACCCAAGTTATCACTAGCATTCACTCTACAAGCACACCAGTGTTTTTCCCTGCTTTACTATTTTTCTCATTTTTATATACACAGAAAAAATAATACACAGCTAGAATACTACTTCTGAAAGTTTATCTGTGTTAAATATTTATTCTTCACCATAAGATATAGTCAGTTTTAGGGAAGCTGAATGCAGAAAGTAGAGATGCTGCATAAAGTATAACCTTGATTGTTTCAAGCTACTGCCAGACTCATTAAGCATTTTTTTTTGTTTCCCTCAAATCCTTGGTCCTTATCTTTAATTAGAACATTACGTTTCTATGAGTATCTGTTATTAAATCTCCATGGAGTCATGAAGCTTCAACTTTGCAGAAGAAATACAAATAAGAGTTTTGAGAATTTCAAGATTAGTTTAAAAGAGAGGAAAATCTAAAGATCTCCTGTACTATGAAGGGCATCTCCTTAGAGATTAAGGCAGCCTTCAGCCATCTCATACACATTCAAGTGGGGGAACAGAAACTGCACTAGCAGTGTGACAGTGTTTGTGCATCCAGAATTTATTATCAATACATTTTATGCATGGCGTTGTAACCATGTTAGACTGCTTCAGCATGTCCCATGCTTCTCTCCACCCCTTAAGCCTGGCATCCTAGTGGGAACTTTGCTTTCCACCCACAGTCCTGGTCTATGGCCAGACTTTGTCTGACTCAGAACAGCACAGGGGACAGCTGCACCAATTGCAGCATCAACCAGAAGGAACAAAATGCAGGGCAACGTATCACTGGTGGTGCAATGCCACTAATTTGCCCATGGTACCATTGGCCATCTAGCAGTGTCATGCAGAGGGAGGGCGCAGATTGATAAAATAGATGTAAAGGGCGGATTTCTTCCTTACTACCATAGCCCCCATCCAATCACCCTTTACAGTTGCTTAAAAAAAACACTCATGAGATCCTGTTTGCAAATCTCCTTTGTCATGCCTAGTTTGACCCTTTGTCTGCCTTTATTATGGCCACAAATAATTCACTAGCTGAATCAAAGTAGAATTTAGTCCAGGTTACACTGTTTTAGTGGGCTTGTACCATATACAGAATGTGTGAAGATGCTACTTGGTTACACCATTAAGTCTATTAACTATGGCTAGACAACATATGGCTGTGAAGCAATCTCCACTTGGCCTGTGAAGCCTCCTTGGATTCTTACCCCTTGAAGAATCTCTGGGAGGAATCTCTGTTGATCTAAGGCTGAGTTCCTTTTGTCATGGTGAGACACACAACTCCAAGCAAAAGAGTGGTGGCAGCGTGTGTGTGGAGTGACATTGGACATTGTCATTACTGTCATCATGTGATCATGGAGGGCAGTTTGTGGTCCCCATCTAAAACTTATTTTCACCTTTGCTGTGTGCCAGCCTCCAGCAGGGCCTGGCAGAGAAGCACCTTTCTTGGTGCTCTTCAGGCTTCTTCTATTGTTGTGGATGCTTTTCAGATTAGCACATTTTCTTCCAGGCAATGGTATGGAATCAGTTCAAATGAGTCCCTTGAGCCTCCGCCTTCATTTCCCATGAGCATTTCTGGACTACACAGTGCAGCTTAAAGACATTTGTGGGAAATGAAGATGGCCATGGCAGCCATTTTGCAGTATGCTGAAATTGCCAAATTGCCCAGGAAGGTTGCCTACCCCAGCCTATGTCATTCTGTTTTTAATTCCGGAGACATTCTAATGGAATGAAGGCAACAAACTCAACTTTTGATGAAGCAGTAATTAATGCACAGTGCATTGCGTCTGTGACTAAGTCATCAGACAAGAGTACTGGCTCATGGAAAATGCTGTTAGCACCTCATTCCAGCAGCAATTCTATTGACAAACAACATTTCAAGAAGCAAAAATGAGCATAGCATAAATAAAGTGTGCATCAGGGAGCTCATTCCTTCATTGTTTAAAGAGTTTGGAGCAGCTGGATTGAGGTTACAACCTCAAAAAGCCACTCCGAGTCAGAGCGGCTTACATTAGCTTTCGCCTACAATTGAATGTAATTTTGGCTCTTCCACTCCTCAAGTAAATGTAGCTAATGGGTTTCAGTGCTGCGTTATAACATAGAGACTTGAAAATGGCTGCTTTTCGTGTTTTAAGCCTGCTCTGTTCAGCCCTCAATCTTATGTAATTTCTTGCTGTCATTTGGCTTTCAGTAAGAGGATTTTGCAAAGGCAATCGGAGAAAAACTCTCAGCTATTCTGAAAGTAGAGATGATGTCCTTACCCAGACAATAAAGACAGAGTTCTCCTGAGTGTGAACGTTCAGAACTGTGGTGCCACTGGATAATTACAGACTCTGGACTAACAGTATGATCCTATACATGCCTTCTCAGAAGTAAGGTCTATTGATTTCAATTGAACTTGCTCCCCAGTAAGGGTGAACAGAATTCCAGCCTGAATGCTTTTATAGGTAGAGATATCACAATTCTGGAAATTTTAAAGCCATTAAGAAAACCAATTTTCCACACTCCCTAGCATTTTTTCTGGGAAGATGGGACAGGAGAGAAATTTGGGAAAAACAGAAATGCATCTAAAGTAAATTAGATAGAAACTGTCTTACACAGTCAATATGTTGCATGGAATGTCTGGGTTTTATATAGTTTACACTGCATTCAGGTGAGTTAATATTCCCTAATGTTATAGATCTTCATACTGCACATTTTGAGTAAGTAAAACCATGCCTTAAAACCATTTTCACAGATTTCAAGAGAGGAAAGGTGATGTGTGTATGTTTCCACTGGAAAAACCCAGACCTTCATATTTCTTCCTGGAGGAGATTCTTTAGATATATATTATTCATTTATTTAATTTCATTTCTATATCATCCAACAATTCACAAAAGCTCTCTGGCAGTTCACAACAATTCACTAAAGTTACAGACCACAGAAATAACATTTCAATAAAAACAGTATAACCCTGGAAGTCTCAGATATTCAATGTCTGGAGAGGCTCATATTGAGAGAGGCACTCAGACAGGACGGTGGTCTAGATCCAGGGAAAGCTTTATTGGTTAAAACAAGCACTTTGAACCAGGCTCAGAAATATACAGGCAGCCAGTGCAAGCACTCCAGGCAATGTCAGGATTTTCTGAACATTACTTGGATGCTCACATTATGGGCAATCTCCATTTGTGATTGATGTGCACATAGTAAATTTGTCCAAATCAAGGAGTGATGTAATGAGAAAACTGTGCAAATCTCCCCAAATTCCCCTAGGGTGGGGCTAATTCAGTCTAGTGAGGACACTTGTGCAGATAAGGAATCTGAATGGGAAATCAGGAATGAGTCAAATGCAAGCACACATTTGGTAATGTGCAAATACACCTCTGAGGTGCTGAACAAGAGAATTGTTTAACGCTTCCAACAGGTCATGCTAATATACTTTGTGCTCAGAAATGACATTCTCATAGTTCTGTAGGTTAGAGTGTTAGAGTCAGGAAGCACAGCTTAATTAAGTCATCAACTCTGCTCCCAGTGACTGAATCATACATGCACAATTGTCTTCCAGTGACCATAGCAGCAAGGGATGGCTTGGGAATGGGGTATTGCACAACATGCTGAGATAGCATAACACCCAAGACTGTGAACAGTGATGGTCACACTTCAGATCTCACTTTGGCAACAAGTTCAATAAGGAAGACTAAAGAAAGCCACTATTCTTTCAGCCCCCACCAGTTGAGTATCTGTAGTACGACGGAAGTAACATTTGGTTTCCTTACCATACTTCAAAACGGATAAATGAAAAACTGCCTGTGAAGTGCTTTGCACATACATAAATCCTAAGAAAGGATTACCAATTTTGATTCAACTGTCATGCATCTCCCCAGAGAAACCAGAGATGTCCAAAAGAGGATTTCTAAGGGTTCTCACAAAACTACCATTCCTGGGGTCTGTTGGAGGAAGCCATGGTAGTAAACTCAAATATGATCACAACATAGATACACCCTAGCTATAATCATTATCACCATCACAGACATGCTTCCTTGATATCAGCCTGGTAAACCCAAATGCAATAGTGCAGCTCAGGTGATGAGGGCTGAGCGTGGGGAGGGCAGAGTGGGAAGGCACCAGGAGCGCCCACTACTCCATATTTATCTGGCCAACAGTCTCCACAGCACCAGTGCATACAAAGCAGGGATGTGCAAACTGGCAAGACCTCACCTGCTTCAATTCCATCTCAAATTCATTCTATATTTCAGTTTCAGCTTTAAAAGCTTTCATTTCCCCAACGGTATATATCGGTTGCATGCATTTGTGAAAGGCATACCTTTTAAAACTCCATCGAATAAATCATGTTTGTGTGCATTTTTCAGAAGTTTGTATTTTTCATGGGCATTCCCTAAAGAACTCTATTATTTCCCACAACAAATGGGATTCTAAGCTTGGAATCTATGGGCTTTGAACAGAGATTGCATTCAGGTCCACCTTCGATTCTAGGGGATGAAAATTGGGTAAAATCTGCTCCAAAATGAATGGAAATAATTTCCCACACATCTCTGTAGATTGCACAGACGCTGGGGAGGCTCTGATGCAACAGACCTGCTCTACCCTTTGAACCTGCAGTGAACAGGGCTCCTCTCTCCCAATGGAGCGAATATCATAGCCATCAGGCAGTGAGAGAATCGCCTAGTCTCAGCAGAATTATTTTTCAAAGACAGCACAGCCACCAGGGTAGAAGAGAATCTTCATTATGGTTGTGTGATGACCCATGCACTTAATACAGTCATTAGATGATAAGCCAGCTACAACCGAAGATTGGCTTGTTCCCAGTTCCCAGTGTAGTTAACAATAGTTAAACTGCTTGCTACTCTAAATTCTTCATCACAATAGCCTAGAAGGGGAAAGTGTACAAGTACCACCTTAATTAAGTTTTTTTTTATCTTTAAGATGATATGGGCTGATTTAATCTATGAAGGGTTTTTTTTTTTTTAATTTTCCTCTCAAGGGGTCCTGATTAATTAGTATCTTTACATTTTATTTAGCAATGCATTATCTTTGGAAGTGAAACAAAGGCACACAGGCACAGCAAAGAATTAGGAATGATATGACTGGGGCTGCCTTGAAAAGAACAATCTATAAATTATACTGACTGTTGCTAACTCTAGCAATGATCACAATGGCTGATAAGTGTCAAGTGTCAAGCTGCTTTATTTGATTCACATTCAAACAGCAGCATCAGATGACATTCAGTGTGCTCACCACTGGCCAGTTCTTCTCAGTCATTTCTGGTGTCTGTCTTATATATTGTCACAGAAAATAAAAAACAACCTTTTCCCCACTGGCATGTTACAATTAGTTCCCTGTGGTATTGGATCACCATAATTTTCTTGCTTGCACAGCACACAAAATTTGATTTCATGTCCACCATGGACTTGAACTCACTATCCCTTCAGCAAACAGCTTGATGATATCTGTTTGAGGAGTAACAGTTTTCAATCATTTTCTTTCTGCAAAAGGTGGCTAAGAAGAATGGCCGATTACCTGGTGTGTGATCCTTGGCTGGGCCTCCTTGTTCTATGACAGCCCTGTTGCCTATGAGCCAGTCGAATTCATCTCCAGGATCCTGTGTGAACTTACATGCAGTGGTCCAGTCTTGGCCTTGAGTTTCAAAGTTACAGCTTCCTGGGACACTGGTATATTGGCCTGCCAACATAAGAACAACCACATGTATGTATGCATGTATGTACATATGTATCTATTGTCATCATCTAGATTTTCATAGACCACTGTCTGGAGCGGTTTGTCACAAATTAAAAGTACATATGAAAACAATCTAGGCAAATTAAAACAACCTAAGTAAAACAATAAAAAGTAAAATTGGGAGTCCATATAAAGCAACAATAGCAAATCCTATGCTCTGATAGCAAATCAAATCTTTCCATGTTCCTGAAGCTGGATCTAAAATGGCATTTCACATCCATAAGAGACTTGGAGGTAGCCATGCAGTTTGCAAGTATGGAACAAATCTTTAGAAAAGAAAACCTAATTCAAAATAGCACCTGGAAATAATTAAAAGGAGAAACTTCCTTAAAACTATTAAACTTAAAAGCCTGATTGATTGATTGATTGATTGCTTTTTCACCAGGTGCCAAAATGGTAGCATAGGTGTTAGGTGTGTCTTTCTATGGAGGGCTTTCCATAACTCGAGTGCCAATATTGAGAAAGCTTTTCTTTTATTGCTTGTTCAGGTATTAAGGTCCCAAGCCATCCAGGGCTTTAATGGCAAGTAGCAGCACCTTGAATTGGGCATGGATGCAACAAATGAAGGATGATATCCATAAACCTGGATATTCCCATCAAAGTTCTAGATGACATAATACAAGAACATGCTGCATTGCATCCTTAGGATTATGCCTGCTGTTGGGAGAATGTACAAAATACAGTCAAGATATGGGCATCCTTCAAAACTTGTCAAAGAGTATTCATATTGTGTGGAAAATGTATAAAACAGTATCAAGATGTACACATTTCCCAAGACTTATTGGTGAGTATCTAGACTGACTGGCAATATGCATATTCTGTATGAAACATGGAAAATGTGCACAATGATCAGCTGACCTAGCCTTATTGGCTATTCAACTTATATTTCTTCTAACGTGCATTTTTATATGAACCAGATGTACATAACCAGAAGAGAGGTCCTGATTAGGGTGCACATTTCAAAGAAAGCATTAATTCCGTGCATAGGAAAACCAGTGGAGGTGGTGGCAGGAGGAGAGAAACAAGTAAAAATTCATAAAGAAGAATTTATTTTAATATTTTAAAATATTATTTTAAACTTATTATTAAATAATAACTTCACATTATTTAAGTTATTTTAACAGTAATGTCACTTGACCTTCTGTTTTGTATTTTTATCCATATTTTATTAACACTGTATTTTAATATGTTGTATGACAAATCTAGACAGCATACTAAAAGGCAGAGACATCACCCTGCCAACAAAAGTGTGTATAGTGAAGGCTATGGTTTTCCCAGTTGCAATGTATGGCTGTGAAAGCTGGACCATAAGGAAGGAAGGCTGAGCGCAAAAGGATTGAGGCCTTTGAATTGTGGTGCTGGAGGAGACTCCTGCGAGTCCCTTGTACCGCAAGGCAATCAAACCGGTCAGTCCTAGAGATCAACCCTGACTGCTGTTTAGAAGGCCAGATCCTGAAGATGAAACTCAAATACTTTGGGCACCTAATGAGAAGGAAGGACTCCCTGGAGAAGAGCCTAATGCTGGGAGCAATAGATGGCAGAAGAAGAAGAGGACGGCAGAGGATGAGGTGGCTGGATGGAGTCACTGAAGCAGTCAGTGTGAACTTAAGTGGACTCTGGGGAATAGTGGAGGACAGGAAGGCCTGGAGGAATGTTGTCCATGGGGTCGTGATGGGTCGGACACGACTAACAACAACAACAACAACAATTACATTTTACTGTGTTTTATCTTATGATTGTGAGCCTCCCAAAGGTGCTGTGGCACAATTGGGCAGCATACAAATGTTTTAAATAAATAAATAAATAAATAAATAAGAAAGTAGATAGAGATTTTTCTGATCTCTCAAATCTTCTAGAACTTTGGATATGCCACTAACTCAAAAGTAAGTTAATCAACAGTAAGTTAAGAATGGACATAATGTATACTGACAAAAAATTCACAAGTTGTGGTGATGATCACAAGTTGATTTGGCTTTAAAAGTGGATGAGAGAAACTTACAGACAACTAGTCTATTAATCAGTATTAGCTGTGACAGCTAAATAGACCACTCACTTCAGAAGCAGAATACTTCTGACTATCATAATAGAAACAGACAATGGGGAGAATGTTGTGGCTTACAGGCCCCAAATGAAGGGCCTATAAGCATGGGGAAAGTCATTATTAGAAACAGGGAAAAATGGACTCTGTCTGGGTCAACAGTGGTCTTGTTTTACATATTATCCAGACATTCTCATTATCTAGAGGTGGGGAGTGAAACAGTGGCAGTGCTCAGCATCAGCTAACATTCTAGACATGGTAGGCCAGTTCTTTGCATTCTGGACTGCCCCTGGGAATCACCCTGACCCCTGGGAATTCTGCTGCTGTGTGTATGTGTGTGAGAGAAACAGTTATATAAACCCACAAGTGATGGAGATGGCTCCAGGAGGACTTCAAGCTGCAAGTCCACCCAGAATGGGTTGAGCACCTTCCATTTAGTCAGAAGAACCACCCACTCGTAGCATCATGGTCTTTTCTAGATGGATTTTCAGTTCATTGGCTCTCATCCACTGCATTTCTGTAGCCAGGCACCAACCTAGCATGTTCACAGTTCCACCCAATGGCAATGAGAAAGAGAAATGGAGTTGTGTGTCTTCAGCCTGCAGAAAGAACACTCTGAAATTCCAGGTGACTGCATGCAACAGTTTTGTCTTGATGTGGAAAAGCATGGGGGACAAAAACCAGGCCCATCAGAATCCCATACTGGAGAATCCATAGGAAAACCAAAATTCCCCCCAAAGCCACCTTCTGGAGTCATCTATTCATTCACTTTCTCGTTTTCCTGATCTTGGGGACAGTCTAGCCTGAATTCACAGGCAGTGTAGACATTTTTTAAGTCTGCATGAAAATGTGTGGCATTATCATTTTATTAATACATTGCATTTATATCCCACATGCCTCCAGCTCATGTGCATATTTTGGTGAGATATTTTCCTTATAGTAATGTCTTTGTGCATTTATTCCTTACTTGTGTGCATTTTTGTGCACACTCTTCCTGGAGTTTGCAGTTTTTGAATGGGGAACTGTAGTGTTAAACTGAGTCAAGTGCAAATTTGTACAAATTTCTCTCACAGGCTCAGCAGCTGTGAATCTGGTAATTCACATAAAACTTCAGATGAAATGAATTTCTCTGCCATTCCTGTGCCTCCACAACAAACTCTTTTGCAAATGCTTGTGTACTTCAAGAAATTGAACCAAAAAGCATTTCTATACTTAATTTGGCGGAATGGGTTTAGCAGAAAGTAATGCATTTAAGAACTTTAGATCAGAATGTGGGTTGCAGAACAGAAAGCCCACACGTTTCCAGTGTATTTTGTTCATTCTTGTGAGAACCTGCAGAGTGAAGCTGAATTTGAAAAGACTTTAATTTAAATTGATTTTTTCTATTTGTACCTCAAGAACTCTTGATTTCCCCACTTTTTTATTATGTGAGTATAAACGAATCTGGTCTTCAATTACTAACCACCTTTCCTGAGCAAAAGAAATCAATCTAAATAGGCGGGATTACTTCTGGTATCGTCAACAACCGATAATATAGTATAATAGAACATGCCAGCATTGTTTGCAGAAAGGAAGCAAAGGAGATTTATTTAGCCTGCCAGTCCAATGCAAAACCATAAAGCATAGTTATTGCAGGGCTACTCGTTAAAGCTATTCCCAACTGAATGACAAACACAATATTACTCTTGGTTAAATGGGATTGTTGACACCAGCCAGGCCTGAACGAGGGACATGCACGATGAGCACAGTTACACAGATTGTTGCCATGCCATCCAGATAGTTTCAAGAGTGCATCTGCAACCCCAGGGAATATGCTGTGTCCACCAGAGACAGGAAGCTTCAGGTTTCTAGGGTATTGTGGGGAAGGCAGAGATTGTCTACCTCTCTCCATACAGCCAGCATTAAAGAAGTGAGATCACATGCACTGGGGTGGGTGGAACAGATTGCAAGTTTTTTCCAGACTGACTGGCATCCTAGGTACTGATCAGTGGGGATTTGCTTGCTTTACTGCAGTAAGGTACCAAGGGATTGAACTGGGGACTCTGGGAGCAGGTACCCAGACACCTTACTCACTGGGGCTCCAGGGCTGCTCTCTGACAAAGGAGGCTTTTAAATCAAAGAAGCTTAGAATAGCAGAGTTGGAAGGGCCCAAGAAGGCCATCGGGTCCAACCACTTGCTGTTGCAGGTTACCAATTTACACCCACTCAGATGACTGCCCAGTTTCTTTTTTTATTCGTGCTGCATACAATGACACCCATGTAAGGGCCAGAGATGGTACTCCTGCACTGCAGAGCTGCAGCTAGTAAATGCCTGCTTGGCGCTGCATAACTCTTGCTCCAGGATGGACTTCTCAGTCTGAGCAACTAACCTCATGAAGTTTCACAAAGCCTTGTCGAGTCTAAGCCTCCTTGTCTTTATGCTCTGGAACTACCAGTCTTCTTTGAGTACATCCTCCATCTCTGTCCTTCTGGACCCTTGTCCTGCTCTGAAACCTGATCTCTAATGAGGAATATGCAACTTGTGCTGTTCCAGATGTTGATGGTCTGCAGCTTCTATCATCTTTAGCTAGTATAACCAGTGCTGTATCAGGAAAAGAAGGCTAGATGAATATGGGGTGCCAGCTGGAGGAGTAACCCATTAGATAACCCAGCTATGGAAAGATCCTGAAGCCTAGAATGAATGGCCAACTGCAAGGGCCCAGCCAGAAGTCTCTGCAAATCAGTGGAATGGCTGATTTTGTGCCTGATACCTTCAATACTAGAAACTGAGTACATCTGCCATTCCTTTTGACCCATCCTTTACGGCAGAAGAGCCTGAAAGTCTGGTCAAGTGCCAGGGCCAGAAGAGCCTGTCCTACGTATCCCCATATGTCCCTGTCATAGTTATACTTTTGCAAGTAAGCTT